ATCTGTAGTTAAATTTCAGTCACCAATCTCTTATTTTTATTCTTCTTCTTTGTTGTGATTATACTCTCTACACAAGTTTGTGTCCTGCTTTGGAAAATAAATATTTAAATGAAAAATAGCCAATATTTTGGCATTTCTCAATTTATTAACTCATTAGGAATTCATAGCTTAAAAAAACACACATCTCAGAAGCACTGTACTGTAGAAAATACTAATAGCATATATAAAAGTAAATAAAGTGAGAATAACTAGGCTATTAATTTATTAAAATTTTCTGAGATGTATGGCTATACAGCAAAAGATGTAATTATCTGATTGATTCATTTGATCATGGTAGCCTAGCTCTACAGATAGTTCAGGCACAAAAATATATTTTAGAGCTTCAACTCCCTGAGTTTTCTTGCTACCTTGATTTTATACAAATACATGTAATGTTTATAACTGTATACACATACACACAAAAATGTGTAAACACAGTGTCAATAGCTTCAGCCAAAGACCCCCAGGAACACACTTGTGGTTGAACAAGTGGGTTTGTTACTCTTTGCAGGGAGGGAGAACACAAAGCAGGGGAAACCATGGGTGTCTCAGCAGGAGGGTGTTAGAAGAAAACTGCAGAGGGTTGGGCTTAGGTTGGATGACTTGGGGGAGGGTCTAAGTGAGCAGGGATACACTCTAGGTTGGATGCTGTTAGAAAGCGGGGGGCAATTCTATCATCGGGTATCTCAATGGATCTTGTCCACAGGGAGGGGAAGCTGGAATGAGGATGAAGCTGGAATTGGTAAAGAAGTAACAGTCACTCATTTTGGCCAAGAGAGGGGATGTCTGGTATCTTGTGGGTGGCACAGTGACCTTGTTTTTGCCTGTGCTTTGCCAAAATCAGGAAGTGGCCTTGCTCGGTCTCATTTTAGCGTGGTCTCAAGGCAGCCTTGTCTGAGGCTGGTATTCTGGGACATTGTTTGTTCTATCTGGAGAGTCACATGGTCTAGCTGTGAGCACGGGGCCAGCTTCTGAATGTCAGGGGCTGCTCTTCCTTCTTTCTCAACAGCTTCAGTCATTCTAATTCTATAACTGGTAGATCTCACAAATTTATATGTGGGTATGTGTCACACTGCCCCTTTCGCAAGAAGTACAATCCAATTTTAGGTTGGGTTAGATAAGAGTGTGAGTATAAAGGAAATATTCTCCCCAGAAAGGATGGTTCAGTACTACTCATTGGTCCCCGTTCTAGACATTTGGCCCTTTCGAGAGCTGATTTTCTCCTCATCTTACGCTTGAGTACCGTGTTGCCTTCTCTGCTGTCACTACATGAGCATTTGGCAACAAGACAAAAATAAGACCACAATCTTTTCTTATGATAAACATGGATTTTCATTTTTATTTTGTTTTGAAAGAAGCATTCTCATAAGTTTTTAATAATCTATAAGAGAAAAAAAATTTTTTCACTATCCTTAGTTCAAGCTCTCTCTGTTCTGGTCACTGCTAAGCATTGCTAAAGGTCATCTAACTCTGAACTCTTCTTTTTCCCCAGTTTCTCTTTTTTTTTTTTTTACTAGAAAATGAACATCTTTTGCTTTTGGCATTTATAAGAGTTTCTGTGAATCTCTACTCAGAGATACTAAGGTTGCTGTTCCCTTCTTATACTTTGGAGAATGACCTGCTTGTCTTTTTGCATGTTAGTGTGACTAGTATAAAAATCAATTGATGGAGGGGCCCGCCCAGTGGTGTAGCGGTTAAGTCTGCGTGCTCCGCTTCAGCAGCCCGGGGTTTGTGGGTTTGGATCCCAGACACAGACCTATGTACCACTCATCAAGCCATGCTATGGCAGCATCTCACATACAAAATAGAGGAAGATGGGTACAGATGTTAGCTCAGGGCCAATCTTTCTCAGCAAAAAAAGTAAGATTGGCAACAGATGTTAGTTCAGGGCCAATCTTCCTCATCAAAGAAAAGTTAATTTATGGAACATTTTGTGATATACTGGATGTAACCAATTTGTTCTTGTTTATAAAACTTAGAAATATCACAAGCCACACTGACTGTTACCATAACTGCCTATCTGTCCACATACATGTTTATTCAAAAAATCTTTGCTGAGCATATGATGTGCCCACACAACTTTGTTCTAGGCATTAGGACACCAGGGAAGGAGGGAGGGAAGGTGAAGGCCCAGTCTCTGGGCTGGAACTCCTGCTCTGCCACTTGCTGGGTGTGCATGTTGGGCAATTAGCTGATCTCTCTAAACTTCATTCTTCCTCTGTAAAGGAAGATTGTGATCTGTGGGGATCACACTAATCCTTCCCCTTAAGGCTGCTGGAGGACTGAAAGAATAATCGGAGTGAAGTGTTTACCACAGTGCTCGTCACAGTTAGTACTCAGTGAAAGCCATCATGATGTTTTGAGGATAAAGTGGTGAATTACCGGATGCTGTCCTTCCTCAAGGAACTGACTGAGAACCAGGCTCCACTGCTAGTAAGATAACTGGCATCTCACTCATTCTTGGGGAGGGTGTTGGGAGACAGGAACAGGAGTGCCATGGAGAAGGCACTGTCTGAGTAAGACCTCATGGATGAGTACAAGTTGTCCAGGCGGTGGTGGAGGGTGAGAGAGAAGGCGAAGGAATGAAGCTAGTGGAGAGCACGCAGTCCCAGCATTCAAAACACAGTGTCAAGTGCTGGACACGACAGAGGGCATTTCCTCACGGTCAGACTGTGGACAGGGGAGAGAGGGAGGGACGTGGTGGGAACTGTGGATAGAGGGGCAAATGAGGACCAGATCCAAGGGCCATGTGTTCAAAGCTTAGTACCTTGGACTTTACCCTGAGGACAACAGGATTCTGGAGTCAGTCTCCAACATCACCACTGGTCCCCCTTCCAAGAAGGTACCTAAATAATTTAAGTGGATATAGGAAATTGTTTAGAGATGTTTGTTGCAGCTCATATTAAAAAACCATTTTTGTCCTTGGACCTAAAGGTCAGATTAATTATACTCATTCACAGGACAGAGTGACAGTTGTCATGTGCACCCTGACCCCTCTATTATTTGATTTTTCTCGCCTCCTCATTCCTTATCCATCCCTTATCCCTTTCCCTCCATTTTAAAGGCACTCATTTCTTATGTGTTTGATACATGGCCTTAAATGTGCATGTATCCTTGAAAAAATATGTTGTTTTATGTGTGTTTTTAATTTATCTACATGGTATTCTGTTATAAATCTCCTCCTGCATCTAACTTTGTTTTCTCTATATAAAGCATCACTGTTGCTATGTGCACATCTAGTTCATTACATGTACATCTAGCTCATTATGTGTACATCTAGTTCATTATGTGTACATCTAGTTTATTGCTTTGAACTGCTGCACAGTCCATATATAGTACATACTGTAGCGTTATTTATAATAACAGTTTGAAATAACCTAAATATCACACACTAGGGAATGGTTAAGTAACCTTGGTACATGAGCAGTGTGAAATAACATCTCCATTAACAACATAGCTCAGGATGCCACGGGAAACACGTTTATGACAACGTTACGGGAGAAAAGCAAACAAAACTGTCTTTACACTGTGAAAACAACAACATAAAAATATAGACTCATACAGCCAATAGCTGGAAGGGATCAGAGAAAAATGAAAACAGCTCTGCATGTCGGAGCAAGGGAACTGTGGGTAACGTTTCTTTTGTGACTGTTAGTAAGGATTACTGTGTGCTGGGGATTTGGCCTACACCTACGGCTTTTCCCACAGTATAATCTTGGGGGAGGGAAGAGATCAAAGCAATACCAACCTGCTGCCTGCCCCAGAGCTGGCATCCGGGTACCCCTCCTGCCAGAAAGGCTTCCTCTCCACCAGGTGTATCCTGCAGTCAACTTCAGCTGAATTTCTCTCCCCCTACGAGAGAAAGAGGATTGACACTAAAATTTTTTTCAGAAGGCTGAGATAGATCTAATGCTGCCGAATTTTAACTATCTTCAAGATTAACAAGAAAAGCAAAGTGCATTAAGAGTTACGTATACTATTCTTCTATAATTGGGCATCTAGGATAGGAGGAAGATATACTTTTTTTTAAAGTATGAGAGAAATATTTAACTTCTTTTAAAGCCATGTACCAAACATCACTTTTTCAATTAGAATTTTACTTTTAAAAGTTTAAATCCCCAAATTTCATGACCCTAACTTTTTTAAACATCACTTTTAAAATGTCTTATTTTTTAACTCATTTCAAAGAGTCTTCCAAAACAACAAATTCATATTTTGAGCCTCAAATTATGCACCTCTTTTTAGTGATGAGGTCTAAGCCCAATCTGAGGACTGCTTAATGCGTTACGAATCACAAAGCACACAATATTCTGACATTAATTCCAACGCAGAGAGCAACTGACAATCAAGATACACTGACAACTACCAGTGACATTAGGATTTGGATATGACAGTTGTTGTCCTTAGGATGGACTTGCTCCAGGCTTTTCCACTCTGCTAGATGTGTGCGAGCAGTCCAGCGCTCCGGGGTGGCAGCCGTCATCCGTCCTGGGGCCCCACTCTCCGGGGACCCGGCCTCACCCCGCTCTCCCACTTGGGAGTCCCTCGGCCGCGCCACCACCTCACGAAGAGGGCCGCCGGGTGCAGTGACCAGGCGCCCCCACCCGCCGCCCCGTCCCAGGGTCGCCGCCCCGCGCGCCGCGTCATTCTGCGCCCTCGGTGAGCACCTACCACTGGCCGAGCAGCGGAGGGGAGAGGCCGCGACCCTTGCCCGTGCCGGCGGGCGACGCGCCAGGACTCGGCTTGCCTCGGCCTGGCGCTAAATTTAAAAACACGAGCAGCTGGCTGGCTCCGGAAACGAAACGAAATTCGTCCCGCGGGCCGCCCCCGGTGCTCTGCCAGTCCCTCCGCGCGCCGCGCGACCCGGAATAGGCCCTTCTCCCGCCATTTTCCGCCGGGCTCCAGCCAGGCCCGCGCTCCTGGGGCTGAGGCCTGCGGCTGCCGGCCCTGCAGACGCCGAAGGGCAGACGGGCGGCATGGCCCGGAGCGGGGACTGCGCGGACGGGGCTCGCGCCCGGCAGCACGTGTTCCTCCTTCCAGGTAAACACGCCCGCCCCGGGGCGGCGGCGCCC